CGGGCATCATAGCAAGTATCGGTAACAGGTATCATAGCAAGTATCGGTAACAGGTATCGTAACACGTACTGGTAACGGGCATCTTAACACGTACTGGCAACGGGCATCTTAACACGTACTGGCAACTGGCATCTTAACACGTACTGGTAACGGGCATCTTAACACGTACTGGTAACGGGCATCTTAACACGTACTGGTAACGGGCATCTTAACACGTACTGGCAACGGGCATCTTAACAAGTATTAGTAACGGGCATCCTAACAAGCATATGCATTGGTAACGGGAATCTTAACAAGTACTGGTAACGGGCATCTTAACAAAGGGGGCAGACACATCCGAGCAGCACGTAATTTGTTTATGGCATCTTACCATCTCAAGAAAGAGTAGTTCGCTCTATCCCTGTGTTTTGGGTTTTGCCCTGAACCGTTATAACGCAAGCGCCCTCGAGTTGCGAGTATTGTCATCAGCCGTTATGTAGGTGGAATATTGCTGAGTGCGACATTGAAACAAGGAACAACCCTTTTTACACAATGTTAACCAGTGAATTTTCAAAACCGTTGTTATGTACTTTCAACACGGAGGCCAGTCTACGTTTTATTTTAACATTAAAGACATTCAGTATTAGACCAATATATTAATACCTTTGAAGAACAGGTTCGTTTTTCACATGTCTAAAGGTCAAAGTAAACAAATGTTTTGCTTGCATCTATTTTAACTCACTTACCATTCGGAACACCAAACTCCTTGATTTCCATTTGGAACTGGCAAATAATTTGCTCAACTGTCTTTTCAAATACATCGTATCCTCCGTTCGGCTTGGTACAGACACTTCTTGCTTTTTACTTATCAGGTTTTGCGCAAGTCCAGCTGGCTTTATCGTGCTGGCCTGTTGTCATCCACTTGTAGCCGGAGGATCTACTCAGAGCGGCAAAGAATGGTAAATGAGGCTCCCCTGGTTCCCAGTTCGTGTAGTTGACATAGTCTCCATCAGGGCCAGAATATGTCCAGAGAAAAAAATTACTGTATACGCCAATGAAAATCAGCTCCCTCCCCAGGAAAGAAAGAAATAAGAAAATGTCGAGCCCTTCTGACAAAAGGTCGATTTAAACTATCCTGTGATTAGAGGTCAAGAGTGATTAGCTGGTCAAGAAGGATTAGGTGGTCAAGAGTGATTAGGTGGTCAAGAGTGATTAGGTGTCAAGGGTGATTAGGTGTCAAGAGTGATTAAATTGTCAAGAGTGATTAGGTGGTCAAGAGTGATTAGATGGCAAAGAGTGATTAGGTTGTCAAGAGTGATTAGGTGTCAAGAGTGACTAGATTGTCAAGAGTGATTTGGTGTCAAGAGTGATTAGATGGCAAAGAGTGATTAGATTGTCAAGTGTGATTAGGTGTCAAGAGTGATTAGATTGTCAAGTGTGATTAGGTGTCAAGAGTGATTAGGTGTCAAGAGTGATAAGATGATCAAGAGTGATTAGATTGTCAAGTGTGATTAGGTGTCAAGTGTGATGAGATGGTCAAGTGTGATTAGGTGGGAGAGAGAGAGAGAGTGAAAGTGAGAGAGATTGAAAGAGAGAGTGTGTGAGAGAGAGAGAGTGTGTGTGTGCGTATACCCTGGAAAATCTAAGTTATTCTACTTAGTTTACTTTACAGGACGAGACTCATGAAAGACATATGGAGCAACACGTATTTCAACAATAGAGTTCTGCCCCCGAGCATATCTCCTCTCTGTATACCGACACCAACCGAGAGTCACTCATGTAATACTTAAGTGTAAATATTACCTGAAAACTCCACCAGTCGTTCTGCAGCATCCTGTTTCTTCTGGATGTCAATGGGGAACATAAAACTACCCTCCTCGTAACATGCACTGCTCGCCTCGTGCCATGATGTGTTGTCCAGGTGATGTATCAACGATAAACCGATCTCCTTGAAGTAATAGTATTGCTCTGACTGCAACAGGAGAGCAACAAGATGGTTGCAGTTGTTTGTTGGACCACGCGGACCCCACTTTAATCATTTTACCTCCAGTAGATTGCATATATTATATATCAATCACTGTAATGTCCGATTCTTTCCATATCACCGTCGTAAAACTGGAATGTGTTATTATAAAATTACAAACAAAAACTAAGGTGGAACTAGGTGTAATCAGTGTTATCCTGTGAATCCTGCTTGTCGTAAGAGGCGACTAACGGGATCGGGTGGTCAGACTCGATGACTTGGTTGTCATCGTACCCCAGTTGCGTAGATGGATGTTCATGCTGCTGATCACTAGATATTTTGGTCCAGACTCGATTATTTCTAGACCGCCGCCATATAGCTGGGATATTGCTGAGTGCAGCGTTAAACAACAAACAAAGAACAAAATATTATAATAACAGAAGTGAACAATCTAATAGATCAGAGATACGTTAGCAAAAGGAAACACCACAGCCAAACGAAATGTTAATACACTTGCAGACGTTGTCACATACCATATCAATCAAATTCCAAAAATTTGAAGGTTTTTCAGTTATTGTCATGAAATGTTTTGTTACAACTTCATGAAATTCGTTACACTAATCCGTCTTCGTTTCGGCAATGTTACGTGTTACAATTCTCACGGGTTACATTCTGTCTCTAGGACACATACGGGTTGCATTCTGTCTGTGAGACACATCGTTCACTTTCAGGATACACCGCGAATCGAATATGACGTCATATATTGTAAGTTGGCTGTTTAGTTTTTGTCTGTATATTTGTCAGGTAGTTTAACGTCTAACCCTACTAGCATCAAACTGTATGACGTCATTGTTTGTACATGCTTGCACCGGGACAATACAGTCCTGTAACTGATCATCAGTCCACGAGACTGAGATACAATGTCATGCAATCACCCATGTCATCGAGCCTTCCGCCATTCCACTATTCCCCTTTCACAAGAAGCACAAGTTGCCGGGCACTTGAATATTTCCCATATTTAATTTGAATCCTCGTACAACGAAAACTGCGCTTTTGCTATGACATACAACCCTCACTCAGAGTACATCCAAACAATAATCTTAGCTCGCCTTATATCTTCTTATTGCCTGGCTGTTTTCCTCGGCGGGTTCTGTAAGCATTTTCTCAGAATCTTCTTGGCCCAGTCTAAGCGTCTTGTTTTTGCAATGATGACACGTGATCTTAAATATGATTCAAATACTCAACAGAAAAAAATGTTTCAAAAGTTCCAAATTATCAATTCTGGTGACAGTTTTTGAGTTCAGTGATTTGGGGATGGTGCGATTATGGGAATAGTGCAGACAAAGTCTAAAACAAAATGGACGAAATTGGCCTTTGCACCAACGATCATAGATTTCTGACACGACAACGGGAAGCAACTATGCAACACAAATACTAGCACCTATCTACGATCACTGGTACTCTCTGTAAGAGACACGGAGACTGGTGTGACGAAATTATGACCAATCTTTATCAGACCAAAGTAAGAATGAGGATTCAACCGACATTTATGACCATGGTGTTTCCACCACACATTAGCATGTTTGAGATAGGGGAGATACTTCTCAGGTTGTCTGTCTACTGAGTAAAATAATAGTACAATTATATTTTTTTACGTGATACTCACTTTTCTTAGAACACCATGGTAGACCTTGCCCTTTGGATCCTGTTTGCTGACCTTGTTCTTTGGATCTGGTCTGTGGGCCTTTGTCTGATTTGGATCTGGTCTGTGGGCCTTGCCTTTGGATCTTGTTTGCTGGCCTTTGGATCTATGTATTGTGACGTTGATCTTTTGAATCATGTCTGTTTACCTTTGGATCTTGTATGGTGGCGTTGCCATGCCCACCTTGTTCAGCAGGTGCTTGTGGTGCGGTAGTAGTTCTACACTTCCCCTCACTCTTCCAGTAGAACACAGATGTGCAGGAGATGTTTTCAAAGCATATCAGGGTACACTTTACTTTGCTGACGTGGCTGAAGACAGGACCTGGATCGACCATGGAGGTTTGATTGACAACATGGAATGAGACTACTCTCTGGGGCATCGCGCGATGAAAGGGTCGAAAACACAGACACACGTGTACTGTGATCCAACACAATAAGAGCTTCATTGTAAATGTGACTGGATTGCACGGAACTCAAATGAAATGTGCTGAACATGGACTCAAGAGACAACAGTCGAGAGCTGCAATGGAATAGTGATACTCCTGCAAAAACTGTGAAACTTATACTGAAATTCCAGAAGTGGTCCTGTTTCTGAGTTGTAAATGAGTTGCATTATGTATGTGTCTTTTAAGTTTGGTTGAGTGGAAATCTGAGTGCTTCATCCGCCGGAAATATCCCACAGCCCTGACCGTGGTGTTCTCCCATTACACAGACAGGCAGTTCGCAGACGCCTTAAAACAACAACATTTACGGTTCAATGAACGGATTTGCTACTACTTGTTACCTACACATTATAATAGAAAAGTCCAAAAACAGAAGAAAAAACTGGAGTTATATTTACTTTGAAAGATGGCTGAAAATACATTAATTTGAATTTTGATTGCTGCAAAATGAAAACAGTATAGTTTCATAACCATTTTGGTTTAACCTTCTCATTTAATGAGAGTTGGCAGCATCATATTGAAAACATTTTCAAAAAGACATCTAAAATGACTGGAGCATTTCAGAAATTAAAGTTCCTACTAAATAAAACAACACCAGTTTTTCTTCAGGATTTACTCCCACCTATAGTAGGCGATCGGACAAGTTATGAGTTAAGAAACTCCAATAACTTTAGCTTGCGACCCTGCAGCATCATTTAAATCTTATATCCACGTGAACGAAAAATGTGCACCTAAATATTATTTATATGGAACAAGGAAGTTAAATGTTTTGCACACAAGATTAAGATATATCATAAGTACACTTAATTATGATTTATTTAGAATAAATATAAAAAATGACCCATCATGTCGATGTGGGATGTGAGAATGTTTTTCATTACTTCCTTGAATGTCCATTGTATACTATTCAATCTTTAGAAAGTATTGTTAAAATTAGAACACTGATTGGTATTGATCTTATCCTACATGGCAATGAGGTCTCTCAATTGCTGAAAATCAGAATATTTTCAAATATATACATATCTATATCTCCCAAACAAAACTTTTTTCTCGGTTAACTTCTGTTGTATGTATCCTATTATTGGGAGATATCTTTTCCTGAGCTAAATAACTTGTGCCCAATCCTTTTCTTGAATGAATAAAATATCGTTCAATCAATAAACACAATCACACCCCTCAGTGACATATTACACAGTTTATATTCGATAATAGTTGATAATAAAACAATTTTGAGAAGAGAAGACAGAGAACAAACTATCAGTAACGAACCTGTTTCAGGCTCACCCTACTCTACTCAATAGACAGGGGACTGTTCCATTATACCCGTAGGTGTTACCCTAATTAACCTTCTACTTCAGTGTCTGTCAATTGACTGTCTGTCAAATGGGTGTCTGTCAATTGGGAGATAACCCTGCCCGTAGCTCCGAAAGGTCTAGATGTTGAATTATTCACTAACCCTTGCTACCAGGTTACTCGTGTGATCACTCAGCAATGTATTTGACTTTCTCAAATTGTTTTGTGTAAGAGGAAGGACGGAGACACTACATTACGCTCAGATCGGTATACTCGGCACAAGAGTTCCAAATATACAGTTAAAAAAAAACGTAGGATGGCGGGATGGTTTACATGGAAGATAGTACAGATTGCTTGATGGTATTGCAGAATGTACACACCTCCTCTTTATAACTATAGAAACATCTGCATGGCCAGATTTACTGATAGCATAAACAATGAATAAGAGGAAGAAACGTATACTTCGGTAGTGATCTAAAAGGTAACCTCAAAACCTGGGACTGATTACTTTTCGAAATGTTGAAAACAGTTCAATAAAAAGAGGTATACCAACTTCCCTTTCATCCTGGGTTGAAACAAGCGGACTTAATGCAAAGAGTTCGACGATGAAATAATATAGTTAGAATGTAACTATTATATATGAGATTTTCAAATATAAGCAAGAGTAAAGTTACTGAAAGTGCTGTGATATTAGACCATTGAATTGGAATAAAGAAGAATTAAGGGGAGAGGATCGAAAGCACACCGATAAGCCGAGGAACAGTATAGAGACAAATTAAGGTCAGGAAATCACAGACAGGAGAACCAAGGCTGGTTGGTAACGCTGGGACTGCAGCTTCAGAAACATAACGTATACACTATGACTACACAAGGTTATTTAGAAAGTGAGATATTGTACTGAGAAAGTTGCATCCCAAATATAACATGTGTTACATTTGACCACTTTCTAAATGTGTATTCATAGTTTGACCATAAGGTGCCTGACTCTACGGACGTGGGGTCGACTCCGGCATGGAACCCAACAAAAGTACTAGTATTTGTACTTTACTGCACACGTGAAGTCCCTTATGTACCATGTGTTTCTTCGTGTACATATAGAATATATCTGCTGAATATATTGACTGCCGTGGTGGTCCCTGGGGGTGCCCTGTTATTCAACAAATATCTGAGCTGAGGACCGGGGTTGATTTCCCAATATGCGTACAATGTGTGAAGCCCATTTCTGGTTTCTTCAATGATATATATTCCCAGTATCAGTCAGGGGCAACTCGGCGAGCTGTGATGGCTGAGTTGGTTAGATCGTTGACTTTGTGTGCTGGCGATTAGGTGCCCCGACTGGGACTCAACCCAACAAAAGTACTAGAATATGTACTTTACTGAGAAAGCATAACCCCAAATATAACATATTCTATTCGATACTTTCGAAATGGTTTTGCGTAATCACAGGATATATGGTGCTCGTCAGCATCGACATTACAAGTACGGAAACTTCTGTCTAGCATACACTTGCGATCCAATTTCATCCTAGTGCTAAACATCCTCGTCGAGAGTTCAAGACTATTCTGGTAAATACAGTAAAGTTACAAATATATTTCCTTACTTATGTTTGGCTTTTGTTTGTTTGTTTATTCATTAAATGCCACAATCCGCAATTTACAAGCAAAATGACAGCGTCCGTGTGAGGATGGGCATTATCTTGTTGACATGTCAATCCTTGGTCAGGACGTTATACTACTGATCCGGGAATGTGATCTCCGCAGTCCACACCTGTCAAACTGCCCTGAACAAGAGCTAAATGGTTTGAGCACTTATCCCATACTAAATTATTTGGGAGGGCCTGGCTGTCTGTGCATCTTATACTGCAAAGGTGTGGCCATCTGTGCATCATCGTACTGAGAGGGCGGGGCTATCTGTCCAAGTAGTATACACAACAATGGTATGGGACCAGGTCCCCCGAGGACTCCATTTGCAAAAATGAGCCCTTGTGAAATGTCCCTTATCCCATAACACCACTGTGTATATTACTACTGAGTTGCATGCAAATCTGACGAAAATCGGTCACAAAGTTTCTAAAATATTGACTTTTAAGTGAGCCTGGGGTTGGTCGAAAAAGGTCAAATGTTAAACGTTTTGTTGTAATTTAGTCTTTATTATCGGTCTAATAGTTTAGGAAATAATCACTTTTTAGTGAGCACGGGGTCGGTCTGGCGAAAGGCTATAACTCCAACGTATTATCGTACTTGTTATATTTTAGTGAGGCGAGAGGTGTTTTTTTCTGAATGAAACACAGCTATCGGTAGTTCCCCCGAGCTGCCTAGCTGCCTTGCTACCATCTTGTTAGGACGTACTTGTAGCGATGTGACAGCTGTCTCAATGTGAATGAAATGCAGATCTCAGCAGTTGTCGCCTCGCTACAGTCTCGGTTTGCTCTGAGCGAGCGGTGTGGATGAGTATTGTGCTGTCACAAGCGACAGTGAAATCTTTTTTATGTATTTTTCTCTTAGGACCGTAACCGGTTTGTCAACCAGTGCCGATACCTGGTTTCGGTTTGCGCACAATCAGCACGTGCAAGTTGGTTAACAGCGAGAGTTTCTGTCCCTCATTTTAAAACACGTGTAATAGGCACCCTGTAGTAGGCAACCCAGTGACAGGAGTTCAATGTAGAATGTACCTCGGTGTTTCCCTGTTCATAGTTTTATTATAGACGTTGCGTTGTGTACTTTTATTAAATGATGGAAAGCTTTAAAAACCAGCGGAACAGTGTACAGTCTTCTTCGGTTCAGTGGCAGTTGTCAACTCTTGCAGCAAAATATGACACAAGGCAGAAATGGGCTTCACACATTGTACCCATGTGGGGAATCGAACCCGGGTCTTCGGCGTGACGAGCGAACGCTTTAAGCACTAGGCTACCCCACCGCCCCTGGCTCTTATGAAGAGAACAGACAATTACCAAATGTTTCTTGAGAGGAACAATACTTCTATGAGTAGGAATGATCTACAGTATTTCTAACTTGACTTTGATGAGCGTCGAGGGGCGGTGGGGTAGCCCAGTGGTTAAAGCGTTGGCTCGTCACGCCGAAGACCCGGGTTCGAATCCCCACATGGGTACAATGTGTGAAGCCCATTTCTGGTGTCCCCCGCCCTGATATTGCTGGAATATTGCTGAAAGCGGCGTAAAACCAAACTCAGTCAGTCAGTCAGTCAGTGATGAGCGTCGCGACTTCATCGAAGAGGCCAGGACTGCAGTAGACAATGCCATCCAAAAAAAGTTAGAGACAGTATCTGATCATCTGTAAAGGGAACAGATGAGTGTTGCAGGAAGCAAACGATCGTGAGGATCATCTACTTCTGTACGTTTAAAGGCAGAAGACGCCAAACTGTAGCTAGAGTTTGCAGTTAAGGAAAGCCTTGTAAAGAAGAAACAAGCTTTACTGGAAGAGGAAGAAAGAATAAGACTTGAAAGAGTTACTCGACAAAATAAGGATCTTGAGACAGAGCTTGATGTTTTGAGGCGGGAAAAGGTAGTGGTGTCAGCTATGGCTAATATGGAGGCTGATGCAGAGCTTGTTGGTTTGCCTCAACAGGATCCAATCGAGAGGACACAGCAGTATGTCGAACGATGTGCTAACCTGAAAGCTTCTGACGATGCAAGAGGTCAACAGAAACGTCAACCTATTGACCCGACGGCAGGGTTTAGCAAGTACATGTTGAGGAGAGACTTACAGATGTCACGTCTGCGGAGCTACGATGACAGACCAGAGACTTACAACTGCTGGAAATCAAATTTCAAGGATGTGCTGAGGGACATTGATGTCAGTGCTGCAGAGGAGATGGGCCTGCTTATTAGGTGGCTCGGTCCCGAGTCAGGGAAGCAGGCACAGGGTATCAGGGTATCTTGGACCTGCTTATTAGGTGGCTCGGTCCCGAGTCAGGGAAGCAGGCACAGGGTATCAGGGTATCTTGGACCTGCTTATTACGTGGCTCGGTCCCGAGTCAGGGAAGCAGGCACAGGGTATCAGGGTATGTAGGACCTGCGTATTACGTGGCTCGGTCTGGCTCACAAGAGTTGATAGAGATTAACTTGAGAAAGAGACTTTGTAGTTTTGAGAGACAATGGTAAATTGTATGAGCTGGCAGATTTATTGTCTGAAATTGAGTGTTTAAAACTGTGTGATAAGTACAGGTCATTGCTTGCATACTTTGATTCTGCTGTTGGTGTTTTGCCCATTGTATCTAAACTACCATTTCGCTTTCAGGAGAAATGGAGATCCACAGCCTTCAAGTATAAGGAAGATCACAGGGTTCCCTTCCCACCATTCAGCTTTTTGTGAACTTCATCAAGGAACTAAGCCGTATCCGCAACGATCCAAGTTTCTTCGTGGAACAGGCAAATCTGAAAGAAGAGAAGCCATCCTACGACCAGAACAAATCAAGACCAAGAGTAGCGTCGAAGAAAGTTGAGGTAACATATCGGTATGACACTATGAAACCAGTTTGTCCTTTTCATAATACAAATCATCCTTTGAATCAATGTAGGACATTCAGCACTAAAACCTACATTGAGAGAAAAGACTTTCTCAAGAAACATGGCTATTGCTACAGATGTTGTATGAATAACAAACACTTGGCTAGAAACTGTAGAGAGGAAATTAAATGTGGAAAATGTGGCACATCTAAACATCCTACATTCCTTTATTTTGAGTATTCTTCAGCACAATCTGAGGACAGAATATTACAGGAGAATGGTGGGGAGAAACCAAAGGACCAGGTGATCTCC